ATTTTTTTTATCAGGTGGTGAAATTTTTGATGGAACGTAACAGTAGTAATTCTCTTCATGGTCAAGTGACGATTGGGACACTGATTTTTCAGGTTGTATTTATTTTCTTACTTGGTTTATATTTAAGCATGTCGCTGACGATACATTGAATTTTGAAAAAGGTTTGCTGATGCACAACCACTTGTCTGATCTTGTGATCTTGTGAATTGTTTCAGGATTGTGCTGTTGGTTTGTTATTTGCTTTGCTTCCAGTTTTGGGTGGCAACAGTGGTGCTATACAAGGAATGATTTCAATGGGGAAGTTGTAAGTTTGTTTGTCACCTAATATTTTTTTTGTATAAATGATTCCTCTCTTTCTTTCCTTTTCCAATAATGGAAGTCATTTACTGTTATTGATTGATTTCAATGGGGAAGTTGTAAGTTTGTTTGTCACCTAATATTTTTTTGGTATAAATGATTCCTCTCTTTCTTTCTTTTTCCAGTAATGGAAGTCGTTTATTGATTGATTGCCAACCAACACCCCGCCCCCCCCGCCCCCCCCCACACACACACACACTTTTTTTGGTTAATGACCCCATGTAAATGATCCTTATTGAATCTAACCTCTACTGCTCACAAACTTCAGGTTGTTGGTCTTGTCCTTATACCTCATGGCTGCATCTTTCTTGTCCTGGTCATTTGTTCCTCGCTTTCTTAAGTTAATGATACAGCTATCATCTCAAGTGAGTTTTTGATAGTCTTTAGTGTGGGCCACATTTCTTATTTATCTTTGCTCAAGTACCTTCCGGTTGAGTGGGGCCTCTTTCTAAGCATACTCTTTGTGTATCTTGTGATTCAGACAAGTGAACTCTACCAGCTTGCTGCTGTGGCTTTCTGCTTGTTGTCTGCTTGGGTAGGTGAAAATTTTATGTACCTTTCTTGTCTAGGAAAAATAGTTTTTTACATGTCACTGCAATAAATTTTATCCTTTCCATGACATGGTAGGTAGGTATCAACTTTGCTTAACATATTTTTTGTCATCCATGGAGTGATATGGATTACAATATCATATGAGATATTTGCAAACAAGAACATCTCAACTGGCAATAGCATATGTACATTGCATGTTTTTGCCTTCTTAATCACGGGCTATTTAATCTATATGGTGATTTGCTTCATTTGAAATTATTTGATTTGTCTAAGTTTGATGGTTGGTTGAAGCTCTGACTTTAAGGTTGTAGGGCTGTTGTCCATCCATCAGTTACATGCTCAAAAGATCAATTCGATTTCTTAGCAGGTTTTTACATTTTACAGAGGAAAATGCTTTATGTGGTTTTTTACATCTGAAAAATAATCATTTGTATTTGAATCCAAAATTCCACGAATACAAGCAAGCAGAGTGGAACTGCAATATATTTTTAAGGCAGAGGATGTAAGAAAACCTAACATTGAAATTTGACAAATTTATAGACATCGTCTAAGTTCTGCTTGAATGATGATGATCGACATATGGTATAGAGCTCCCAATATGTGGTTAGTCATATAAATAGTAGAATGGTTCCTTGACTATGCTACATGTGTTTATACTTAGGCCTGAAATCATCAAATATATGAAAGAAATTCATGTTGTCAAACTGTGAGTTTTCATCTTTAGTTAACTGCAGAAGTTATGATGCTGAGATACAGTATGTCACGATTCAGGGCTGCACGGAAATTTTTCTGTCATCATGTTCTCATTACTCTTGGATTTCCTTCAACTATCAGTGCATTGCTTCTTGGTGATGTTTTTGTCATCTTGTTCTCATTATTCTTAGATTTTGTTTACCATTTCAGTGCAGTGACAAGCTGGGCCTTAGTCTTGAGTTGGGTTCTTTCATGGCTGGAGTCATGATATCTACCACTGACTTTGCACAGCATACTTTAGAACAGGTATTCTTCTGTGCAATGGATTGTGTGCCAAGTACTGCAACAAATGGTAGTATGGATTCAGTATAAAAATTATGTTCTCGGAAATAATGCACTAATTTAAATTTGTAAATTGACTCTGGATCTCTGTAACTTGTTTTAGTGGCTCCATCACTCTATTAATCACGAGACTAACAGCTGTAGTCGATGGACATCACCATGTTACTCTTTTTTACATGGGAATTATTCTCCGTGTGGTTATGTTATGTTAAAAACATAATAATGAGATTGATATGTTTTGAAATTGACTGTCTACTTTGTAGGTGGAACCAATCAGGAACCTGTTTGCAGCTCTCTTTCTTTCTAGCATTGGAATGCTCATAAATGTACATTTTCTATGGAACCATGTGGATATATTGCTAGCATCTGTGATTCTGGTTATAGTTGTCAAGACAACCATTGCTGCTGCAGTTACTAAAGCCTTTGGATATAGCATTAGGACATCATTCCTCGTGAGTTGGCTTGCTATGCTTGTTGACAAAAAAAAAAACAAAAGACAATTGTACTTGAAACTCCTTTCTTTTTCCTTTTTTTTTCCTGAACAAAAATTGATGTACTATGATGTAGGTTGGAGTATTACTTGCTCAAATTGGAGAATTTGCTTTTGTTCTCCTAAGTCGTGCCTCAAATCTTCATCTTGTTGAGGTGAACTCTCTCTCTGTTTGTGTGTGTGTGATAGTTAGGGTGCTATTACAAAACAGATGCGTATAATTTTTTATCATAAGGAAATCTCGTTTATGTGGAACTAGGGTTTAGGGTTGCATGCACATATAGGTGGTTTTAGGTTTGATGTCATGATTAGATATCTGTGTAACTATATGAACACTTGCCCATCCTTCATTAGTTTTTAAACCATTTTGGTGGTTTTGATGCAGGGAAAGATGTATCTTCTTCTTCTTGGAACAACAGCTCTCAGTCTGGTTCGTTTCTTCGATACTTGCAAATGTAACATGGCTTGTTAACAATGTTTTGGTTCTCTTGCATTAAACCCTTGATTGATGCTCATTCAGGTGACAACTCCTCTCCTGTTCAAATTGATTCCTAACGTCATGAATTTGGGTGTCCTTTTGCAATGGTTTCCATCCGAGAGTAGCACTCCAAATAAATGGTTTCCATCGGAGAATGGTACTCCAAATGAGGTTCTCCCTCCCTCCTTGTTTGTGTTTGTGTATGTGATTTATTTTGTGGGAACGAATTCTTACTGAGAATTTTTCTGGTACACATTGAAGCATATTGCATCCCATGTAAAATTTTCTTAAGACTTGACATGCTGTCACATTCCAGAACTCAATATCATTTATATCTTTTTGATGGATAGTATATCTAGGAAAGAGTTCCATATCTGTTCTTCTGCAGGCACAACCATGGTCTTACACCTCTTTGTGAGGGCGTCTACTGATTTCTTTGGTAGTGAATTTCCTTAAAGAAAATATTATGCAAGAAACTAGGGTTTGTTTTCATGATTCTGGCAATGCATCCACCATGAATCCGGGAATTCATATCCTTTTATGCTGCTACTGCAAAGTCATGTGGCAGTTGTCTGTGCCAATCATTTTCAAAACTTCATTGCAAAACAGCTTTTGAAAATTGAATACTTGCTCGTACCTCATGTCTTTTGTTCTGACATTTTGTTTTTGTTTTCACTTCTTTTAAATATTTCCAAGGCAATTAACCTATCATTTGTGTTTTTACAGGAAAGAGTTTCCATGATTGAAGTGCGTAACAGATAGTTACGACCTCCACATTTTGTAGTCTCATCACTTCGAAGGAAGTATAGCTAATCATCCTGGGAATACAAGGAATCCATCTCATTACTGATTCCACGGTTCAGGTTGCAAATAATCAGCCAGACAGACAATCCAGAACTCTCATGTACATACATATTAGGTCCCACATTCTTTGACTGTTGTATATACAATTTTGTGTTTTCGTGCCATCAGTCATTGATGTCGATCCACTTAAATACGTATATACAGCAGCAATAATTTTTTTGAAAATTATATATGCAGTCACAATTGTATTTTTCAAGAGTATTCTTTGACATGTCCAGTTTTTTGATACTTTCAAAGGTGTTTTTCAAAAAAAAAATATTAAAATATTTTTTATTAATGACATCAGCATATTATAACCATCTAAAAAAACAATTTAGAATCAAACACTTGCTAATCACTTTACAAATGTGCATTCATTATAATTTGGCTTAATTTTAAGGAGTTGGCACGGTAGGATTTTTAATTTTTTTTTCCTCATTGAGCATGAATTTCATGGCTAGTATTTAGGCAAATTTATTCATTTAAGAACACCCAATTGATATTAAAAATGCATTGCTAAATCATTTGAAAAAAAATATATTTAGTCTCGTTAATGCGTAAACTAGCCTGACCTTAATGAACAAAAATTCATAGCCTGCTTTTAACCTAAAAAAATAGTAAAAAAATATGGGTTTTTGCTTTCTTCACTCCATATCCATCTTGGACATGGTCAAATTGAAACCAGCCATTGTATAAACCAATCCAATTTGAGTTCTCACCAACTTCCAAAATAACGAAAGCCTGTAACTATATTATGTATAATAAATAAAGTCATAATCTAATATCATAACCATATAATATAAAAATAGTATTGCTATACTTACAAAACAATAATATTTTTTTATGTATTATAAAACAATAATATTTCTATTAATCTTGCTTTTATTAGTTGAAAGAAAATTTACTAAACTCAACATAATTTAGTTGGTTAATTTAAGATTTGGACCATTTGAATTGTGTTAGATTAAAAAAATTAGATTGAAATTAATCTAATTAAATCTGATTAATTCGCATGGATTAATCTATAATTTGATAATCTGATAAAAAATTAATTGATTTATTTTTCAAATTAGAGTTGTTCTAATAAAAAATCTAATTTGATTCTTTCTCAAATCAGAGTTATTTTAATTTTTTTTTAAAAAAACCTTAATTATTTTTTTGAATTAATATGAGTTAACCGACGACCCTAGGCAGGAGACTTCAAGTTTAATTAAAGACTTTAAAACTACATAATCTAACGGCGGGACCGACAACAACTTTGTAATGTTTTTCTAGAATAATCAGAAGACAAAGCTGAACTCAGAAGACCAATCAGATTCCTCTACTCGCTCGAACGCAACTCTTTCTTCCACTGCTCTCTGTCTCCATCTTTAAAACAACAGCTAAAAAGAGAATTATTTATCCATGGACCAAACCGAGGTACCTAAGCTTCGCTGCCAGCGAATCGGCTGTAACGCAACTTTCACCGAAGACAACAATCCCGATGGTTCCTGTACTTACCACGATTCGGTATTTCAACTTTTCTTAATTATTAACTTTTGTTTTTTGTTTTTGCAGTTGATACAATTTTGGGTTTATGATTTGTAGATTTAATTGCGAAAATGTGATAGCTTTTTGTGTTTTGTTCGATTCCTCGTGTAAAGGGAAAAAAATTGATGTTTTTAGAGAAATATAGGATAAGGGAGTTGTCATCGTCTGTTCTTAAGGTGGCTGATTTAATGTGCAAGAGAGGATTGGGTAGAAAGTTAAGTAATTTTTTCATGATTTAAGTAAAAAAGCTGACAAATGTCGTTATTCTATCCGCACGGCATGGTTTGATTAAAGATCATGATGATTGTTAAGAGCACTGAATCTTGTCAGTGTGGTATAGGGAAGAGTACTTAATCTTGTCAGAGTGGTATAGGGTTTTTGTAAAATTCTTAGATACGTAAAATGTTCCTCGTTTACAATCATTGTCTTTGATTTTCTCAAGCACAGCTCCACCAGGAAGAAAATTTTCATGCTTTTAACAGATGTGAAAAGATAAATAAATTCAATTGTTACTTAATAAAAATGCAGGATAAGGATGTCATATTGAATCCTGGGCAACAGCTCTTCAAAATATATTAACGTGTTCAATGTGCTACATATTATAGGGTTATTAAATGCTTAGATTCAAATAATGGCTATTGTGTAATGGAATCCAAAGGTCCCTGTCCCAACAGTAGGATAATGGATTTTATCCATTTATTGTGCAGCTTCATGCATTTCTTTTTCAGTTTCTGCCTTACGTTTTGTAGAAATTTGTATTTTGATAGTCTTGGACTTTGGTAGTACATATGTTTTTCTATTATATCTTGTGCAAGGTTATCTTATTTGATTACAGAAGGAAATTTTTTTTGAATATAGTGTGCGTTTGTGTATTATACTGATTAACCTTTTCCCTTGATTGCTTTGGTGCGGTTTCACTGCATGTGCGGATATGCATTGGCAGGGGGTATGTCATATTTTTTTCTTATGATTTAGTTGGTTATTTTGAAAAAGAAATAGGCTTTTTATTCATTACCTTAATCTTGCTTAATTCCATTTTCCAGCCATTCTTTCATGATGGAATGAAAGAGTGGAGTTGTTGCAAGAAAAGGAGTCATGATTTCAGCTTGTTTCTGGAGATTCCAGGGTAGGTCCTGTGCCCTCATTTTTCTGCTACTTTTCTTAGGCAGATGTGAATATGGTAGGATTTCTGATAAAATATGACTTCTTCTTGGTTGAATGAACTAGCTCAAACTGGTCATGGTTGATATTTTGCATTTACATTGATAATATGCTTATATGTGTATCAGCGTTGGTCACTCAAAAGTTTTTTTTTCCTGTGATGAAGATGTAAAACAGGTAAACACACAACTGAGAAACCAGTGTTAGCAAAGGCGACTCCAACTCCCACCCCAAAGAATCCATTTTCTCCTCCCACTGCAGCTCCTGCTACCAACTCATCCTCAAAAGAATCTTGCCCTAGATGCAAGCAAGGCTTTTTTTGCTCGGATCATGGTAGTGTCATTTGAATGCTTTTAATAACCACAACAATTGATATTACAGTTTTAAAACCAAACTGAAAAAAAAGGGGGAAAGAAAAATTATCTATCTAGATTATATAGAAGTGATGTATGAACCGTTTCATTGCATGGAAGCATGTTAGTGTTTGCGTTATTGAATTGAAAAGCCATCAAGCTCTGTTAACACAAATATGATCCTCAGAATGCTAGCTGGTGACAAATTGAGAAATACTTCCGAGAGCTTGTAAGATCTTTTAAATTGTGCAAAGTAGCTTAATTTCTAGTTTTGGGAAACGGTACCCCTAAGATCCGCTAGCTGGTGGAATTCTTTGACATGGCCTGGGATGTTAAGTGAGTGGTAAGGAGTAAAATTCCAATTTTCCAAGTAAAAGAGTTAATATTATTTTAAGTGAATAAAAAGTTTTTTTGAATTGCACAAGCAGCTGGCTTCATCTTTATTATTCCTTTTGTGGCCATCTTCACACTGTTGCATCAATTTTGTAATTGGTGCGTTTTAAACTCCCATGTACCTGGTTTCCGCATTATACATCGATTTATTGCTTTTAAAGCTGAAGCGCTTCATGTCCTTTTTAGGGTCACAAGCACAACCCAAAGCTGCACCACCTAAAAGCTATGCTTCTGCTCCAGCAAAAAAGGTAGTTGATATAAACGAGCCCCAGACGTGCAAGAATCAGGGATGTGGACAAACTTTCAAGGAGAAGGATAATCATGAAACTGCCTGTAATTACCATCCCGGGCCTGCTGTTTTTCATGATCGAATGAGAGGGGTGTGTATAATTTACTGCATTTTTACTTCCAACCTGCTCTCTTTTTTTCTTTTTCTTGTTTTACTATTACCTTTTAATTACATGTAATTTTGCAGTGGAAGTGTTGTGACATCCATGTCAAGGAGTTTGATGAATTCATGAGCGTTCCACCTTGCAGCAAGGGCTGGCACGATGCTGATCCAGCATCTTAAACTGCAGGTGTTGGTCAGGATGGTGAATTTCTTTGTTCTATTCTACGGGTTTGTTCTACTGGAATTAACTTCTAGTGAATCCATCACGTTTGCTTTCCCATCATATTGTTATGACATTGACCTTCAATGGTTTTTAAAGAAGAAACCAGGACAGGAAGATCTTCCCTTTTGACACGATTTAGTCTGTGAACTTGCAGCATTTATCCTTCATTGAGCCATGAAATTAGTAAGGGCTCATTTTGTCTTGAAACATGCCTGCGTATTTAGGCTATTTGTGTGTAAAGATTGGTATTTTGTGGATTGTCTTAAACTTGAATTTCAATGGAGAAACCATTATATCTATTTCCCCCCTTAAGAAGCCATTTTTTTCCCTTTATTACGAAGGGCATAAATCCTAGCAAACACAGAAGCCGTTTTCAACCCTCCATGTTTACAGGCTACAAAAGGACCAGGATTTGGGCTTATGATTTGTTGTGTAATATCCCACCACTCCAAAGTCCAAAGCCATCAAAGACAATTTAAGAGGCCACAAATCCATGAGTTTTTATTCATGGCCCCTTGCGGGAGTCCTTTGCCTTGGGAAGCCTTGGTGCCATATTCTGGAGCCAGTGTTTTTTCACCGAGGCATCGTTCTCCATATCCTTGTAAATTAGGTAGTTTTAGGTACATTTTTTAAAAATTAAAGTGTTTGGTTTTTTTCTTATAATCAGTTAAAAATTGTGTTTTATTTAAAGCACGTCAAGATCAAACATACCGTAAGATCAAGGCTGTCCCTTTATCTCCACCATTGATGTACCGTCATAGCTCAATTAGAGAATTCATGAAAAATTAATGGCTGCCAAACGCTAAAGTTAAACAGTAGTTGGAAATGGACAAGGAGTGTATCCTTTCACTTACCAGCTAGGTACCAAGCTTCAAGCTTTGTAAAGCAGTGGAATACCCTTCGGTGCTTCACTTGAGAAGTCTCTCCTCAGCCTCAAGGGAAGGGAATATGCATTAGTGCAGAGCAATGATGGGTGGGCACTGGCCACAAACTTCACATCAATTTCAAAGGAAAGAATTGTGATAGTCTTCCTTCACAAAGCAGAACAGTGTACGGATAGCAATCACGGGTCCTATGATGGATGTCATCAATACTCATCTTTATTTCTCTGCCAAAACAACTTTGGTTTGGGTCCCGCAATTCCCTAGCCTGCTAAATGCTCACCAGGCATCTAAATATACACCACAGCACAAGCCACAGCCACAGGCACCCTCGTTGTTGCTTGTTCCAACACTAGTGTTGATTCCTTGGTCCACTGTTTGTCTCCTCTTTCCATATCTTTCACCGCTGCTTAGAAACCACGCATGCATAGTGATTTCTTCAGGGCAATGTGACAACAATTACTTACAGAAGAACCACGTAGTATTGACGAATGTTTTTGTTCAATTTGTTTTCGAACTTGAACTCTGGCTAATCCACATGGTAAGTAGGTGTTAGAAAGAAAGAGATCTAGATTCTCACTCAATGATTGCAAATCCCGCCCTGCCCTTGGAAAGAGAACAAAACAAATGCTTCACTGGGTAATACCCAGCATCGAAAACCACAATTGTTAGGGAAATAACGACGATTTCATTATCGAATAGAAAAATGCAAGGCATGCATGTGTTTCTTGAACCCTAGAAAGTACATTTTACCTTTTAGTAAGCTCACATCAATCCCAACTTTCTGAGACTCCATATTAAAATCCACTACCGTACATGAATAGGGTCCCACCTAGTTCTGCTGCAGGTAATGCGCTCAGATTGGTGTCACGCCGGCAGAGCAAGCAGATGGCTGAAACCGGCGAGACAGTCGCTGGTGCTGCTGGCTACTGCTCTATTGTTACTGTTTTTTATGACAACTGGCTGTGTCAGGGTGTGTTGTTTTCTTGAGATTAGCAGGTTGTTTCGGATTTTTTACAGCGTGTATTAACTGTTGAGATTTGTTGTCGTGAAGGAGATTCGGGGAGAAGCTAAAAGACAGCCAAAATAAATAAATAACACAAAAACTTTTAAGAGAAAAAAGGACGGCAGTTTTATGTTTTAAAAATATTTTAAAAAAAATTATTTTTTTTACTTTTTACATTTGTAATATTTATTATCTACACTTTGACTTATTTATACTAATTTTTTCTTTTTATTTTTTTAATTTATTTTTTATTTTTATGCTTATTTTTGAAAATTTCTTTGTATAAAACTAAAAGTGAATAGTGTTTTATAGTAGTAATTGTAATATTTTTTTTATGTTAAAAATTAATTTGAGATATAATATTTATTTATTATATTATATATAAGTATTAATTTTTTAATTTATTATACTAAAATACATATTAAAAAAATCTAATCTGACTTAATTTATTATTTTTAGATTGTTTTAGAAAAATAGCAGATTAAAAAAGGTTGTATATTTATTTTTTATGAAAAAAATATTATCTGATTCATGAGGGAACGTGTTTAATAGCTAGTACGAAACAAAGCACGTCAGTCCACTAACGTCTCTTCACCGCCGTTTATTACACTCTCCCCCCCTCCCCAACTCTTCTCTCTTTCTTAAATAAATTCTGTGCTGTGTTTTAACTCACTTCCTTTCAATTCACGCCAAACGAATGCTACCCTCTTCTCTATCGCTTACAATGACAGCAGAGAACATTGAGACTCTCTTACTTAGCTAGTGTCTTGGACACTCTTAGTTCTTGTTTTCCTGCTAGTTGGTAAATATATATATAAAACAATGAAAGAAATGAAACTACTAGTGGGTTGTGAGCACTGGTTGGCAATGGCTGTGGTACTTCTACTATTTCTGTTTCCGCTCGTTTCACCGCTTAACGATGAGGGTACTACTTTTTCTTGTTTGCTGGGTTTATCAGGATTTTTGTCGTGTTTTGGAAAAAATTTAGCTTCTCTTCTCTCCTTTTCTTTCTCTGGTGTCCTTAAAACGGTGTTTAACATTGTTGAAGATGGTGTTTTATCGTTGTTAAGGTGGTGCTAGAATTCTGTTTTATTTGTTGAGTATGCAGTGCTTCTTCTGTTTAGTCCTGTTTCACTACTTAACAATAAGGGTGTTCCTCTTTCTTACAGACCTTTTCTTGTTTAATGGGTTTCTCGGGATTTTCTGTTTGTTTTGGAAAAACTTTCAGCTGCTCTTTTTGCCATTTCTATCCTTGGGCTACTTAAAAGTGGTGTTTTTCACTGTTGAAGATGGAGTTTTTAGCTGTAGCCTATAAAATGGTACTAAAATTCTGTTTTATTGTGTTTGCAAGTCAAAGAGAGGGGAAAATACAGTGAGAGAACCCCGAGAAAGTTTAGGGTTTCTAAAGATTTTCTCTTGTTTGACTCTTGTTTAATAAATTATTCTGTCTGATCAAAAAGCTTGGAAAGTCATTTTTTTATAGTTTTAAGGGTTTCTTGTATTGAAAGAGAGGGATTGAAATGAGGTTCTGTTGCAGGGAAAGCTTTGATGTCTTTAAAGGAATCTTTCAGCAATGTTGTTAATGTGCTTGTTGACTGGGATGATGTGCACAATGTAGATTTCTGTTCGTGGCGCGGTGTGTTTTGTGACAATAACAGCTTCTCTGTTGTTTCTCTGTAAGCCCTTTGAAGGCAGTTATTTTCTTTACCTGTTGAGTCTGCAATGCTTAGCAAATTTGGTTTTTATTAACTTGCTGGTGTGTTTTCTGTGAAGTAACCTGTCAAATTTGAACCTCGGTGGTGAAATTTCTCCTGCCATCGGAGATTTGAGGAACTTGCAATCCATGTATCTTCTCTTTTCACCAAATTTTTTTCGCAATACTAGTTCTGTGGGACCTATTTTGTTCTTTTTGGAGTATTTTGATGGTGCTTTTTTTTTTCTGTTTGTTTTTTTGAAAATTGCAGAGACTTCCAAGGGAATATGTTGACCGGTCAAATCCCAGAAGAGATTGGCAATTGTGCTTCTTTATACCATCTGTAATATTCTGCTGTCTTCTGTTTGTCTGATAAAATTTGATTTTTGCTGGTTTTCGAATTTTTACTGTACTGATGTTGACATGTGGTTTGCATTGTGGAATCCAGGGATCTTTCTGGTAACTTGCTTTATGGTGACATTCCCTTTTCTCTATCAAAGTTGAAGCAACTTGATACCTTGTGAGTAACTCTTTTTTTAGTTTCGTTCACTATGCTTCAATTGGGATTTTTATAATTTTCATGATGAGTAATTTTGTCCTGCAATGTAGAAATTTGAAGAACAACCAGCTTACTGGTCCTATCCCTTCAACCTTAACCCAAATTCCGAATCTGAAGACACTGTGAGTCCTTATAGTTAATGAAGTTGTGGTTTGGTGTTTATGAATTTTTAAATTCTTCTTATTGGTACTTATGATGTTCAATTGGTGCTTGTTTTCCTGTTCAGTGACCTTGCTAAAAATCAGCTGACTGGTGAGATACCAAGATTGATCTACTGGAATGAAGTCTTACAATACCTGTGAGTATTTCAGTTATTGGCAAGGTTGAGAACCTGTTAGTCGTCCTTTTGATTTGTTGATCGAACCTTTATAGGATTTTTTGGCTTCATTGTAGTGCTCCCATGCATGTATGTTCATACGACTGACATCTTTCGTTTAATTATCTCAATATGTTTCTCAGTGGATTACGCGGCAATTTGTTGACTGGAACATTGTCAGAAGATATCTGTCAGTTGACTGGCTTGTGGTATTTGTAAGTATTTGATCTATCTGATTGTGTTCCTGGTGAGCTGTTTGCTTACTTAATTTTCAGTTATTTGGGACTTCAAATTTATTTATTCTCCTTTCCAGTGATGTGAGAGACAATAAACTAACTGGCACCATCCCCAGTAGCATTGGCAACTGCACTAGCTTTGAGATACTGTAGGTTTGGCAGCACAGGCTAATTTTAAGTTATTCATCAGTTTTTATAATGTATTAACTTTTACTTTGATAATTACAGGGATATATCATACAATCAGTTTACTGGGGAGATACCATACAATATTGGCTTCTTGCAAGTTGCTACGCTGTATGTGTTTGATTTTGCATCTAACTTGTTATAAACCCTTTCTAAATTATTACAAGCAAGATGAGGCATCATTTGGGAGTGTGGTTGGACTTTACCTTTTCAAATTCTAGATTTTTCTTATAAAGCTTTGTATTAATATTTTTTTAGTGTTTTTTTTTTTATTATTGTTTTGATGTATTGATGTAAAAAATAAAATAAATAAAAATAAAAAGATATTATTTTGATGTATTTTCAAATGAAAATCGCTTTAAAAAACACCCTGCATCACAATCTCAAGTACTACTCGAATAGTCTTTTTACTGTGTTTCTGGCAATATCAAAACAAGTAATTGTGCATCTTTATTTTAGGTCTCTTCAAGGGAATAATCTCACTGGGAGGATTCCAGAGGTTATTGGTTTAATGCAGGCCCTTGCTGTTCTGTAAGTGTGAAATTTAAAATCTTGAAGGTTTATTTTACAGCATCATGATCTGTGATGTGTACTCGTTACTTTTCTTGTGTTGTAGCGATTTGAGTGACAATGAGCTAGCTGGACCAATTCCCGCAATACTTGGCAATTTGTCATACACTGGGAAACTGTGAGTTCATACTGTTATTATTACTTTTTTATGAACAGTGGAAAGTGTGAGTTCTATTTCGTAACAGATGAAGCGTGCTACTGGCTCTCTGTGTTTTTATATCAATTGTTCTTTGAACGCGCACCAGGTATCTTCATGGAAACAAGCTCACTGGACCAATTCCCCCAGAACTTGGAAATATGTCAAAGCTAAGCTATTTGTAAGATTCCTCATGATTTCAAGGTTTCCAAATGTCTCTGATTATATGCATGCATATTTTATTTTATTCGGTAACTGACCAGAGCATTTTTTTAGGCAATTGAATGACAACGAGCTGGTTGGCAGCATTCCTCCTGAACTTGGGAAGCTGGGACAGTTGTTTGAATTGTGAGTTTCCTGTGATTAAATGCTGTCTACGTTCTCCTTTAAATGTTATTTACTGAATTTCTGGTTTATGGATCAGGAACCTTGCTAACAACCATCTTGAAGGGCCCATTCCACACAACATCAGTTTTTGCAGGGCTTTAAATCAATTGTAGGATTTTCTATGTCCAGGCTGTTTGCAGCTATTTGAACAGTGTCTTATGTTTCTGATGTGGGCTTTACACCAACGAACTGGTTTTGTCTTACTTTTGCAGCAACGTGCATGGTAATCACTTGAATGGAATCATACCTTCAGGTTTCAAGGATCTTGAGAGCTTGACTTACTTGTGAGTTCTGGAGGCCATATTTGAAAAGTTCTTCATATTTTTTAGTTTCATTTTGCACTCATTTCCTGTCATTTAACTAAAATGTCTTGAATCTTCAGAAATCTCTCATCAAACGACTTCAAGGGCAGTGTTCCTGTTGAGCTGGGACGCATAATCAATTTGGATACATTGTAAGTTTCCTCCTAACACTGTATATTTTGAGATCAATCTATTGTAACACTTAGTTTTGGAGAACTTTTAAACTGTAATGCACCAGTCTTATGGATTTCAATGTTTTCAGGGATCTCTCCAGCAATAACTTTTCGGGGCCCATTCCAGCTTTGTTTGGTGACCTGGAGCACCTTCTCACCTTGTATGTCTGTCTGGAAGTGTAATTTTTATTTGAATTTAATTGTCTCCAAGAACTTGCTAATCTACTTTCTGATGTGTACACCAGGAATTTGAGTAGGAATAATCTTCATGGACGATTGCCTGCTGAATTTGGGAATCTAAGAAGTATACAAATTATGTAAGCTTCTTACAACCTGTTCTTTTTACTCTTGGATGAAGTTTATCTGCCCCCATTCCTGATTGGACGTAATAATATCTTCCCCCAGTGATTTGTCTTTCAACAACGTGACTGGTAGCATTCCAGTGGAATTGGGTCAGCTGCAAAACATTGTTTCTCTGTAAGTTCAAAGCCCAGACAATGTCTCCGCTGTACTCCTTTTGATCTTCATAAATTTTTACCATGTACTAATTTGTTGATGGATGGCAGGATCCTGAACAACAATGATTTGCAAGGAGAAATCCCTGAGCTTACCAATTGTTTCAGCCTCGCCAATTTGTAAGCTGTTTCATTTGGTTCTCTTCAATGTTTCATTATTAATAGCTATAGAATGCTACTGTAAAATGACTTTTTACGTGTTAGGAATTTCTCATTCAACAATTTATCAGGAATTGTGCCACCTATTAGAAACTTGACACGATTTCCACCAGACAGGTATGGGAAGGATAATAGTTTTGTTTCTTTTAAAGTGCTTAAAATGAAAATTTCCGACAGCTTACTATAGAAGTTCCTTGTAATCTTTTGTACTACCTTGCCAGCTTTATTGGAAATCCTTTATTGTGTGGCAACCGGTTGGGATCAATATGTGGCCCCTATGTCCCAAAGTCTAAAGGTAACCCCTCATCAGCTACATGCTCTTTTGAACGCTTGTTTTAGTTATTGACATGGTCAACTCTAATAAAGAAGGTTTTGGGTTTTATCTTGAACTTGTCTGTTTATCTTCTGCTGTTTCAGTAATCTTCTCTAGAGCAGCAGTTGTCTGTATCACGCTGGGATTCATAACATTATTGTCCATGATTATAGTTGCGATTTACAAATCCAACCAACAGAAACAATTGACGAAGGGATCCAACAAAACTGTACAAGGCATGCATTTTACTTGATAATTGTTCTTTTTATGTTTCCTGTTTTGCTTCTCTTTTCCAAGTACTCATGTTTGGTTTATTTCTTGCCAGGTCCTCCGAAACTTGTGGTTCTTCACATGGACATGGCTATTCACACCTTTGATGACATAATGAGGAACACAGAGAATTTAAGTGAGAAGTATATTATAGGTTATGGTGCTTCTAGCACTGTATACAAGTGTGTGCTGAAAAATTCCCGGCCACTTGCAATTAAGCGACTCTACAGTCAGTATTCATGCAACTTGCACGAGTTTGAAACTGAACTTGAGACCATTGGCAGTATCAGACACCGAAATATAGTCAGCTTACATGGTTATGCACTGTCTCCTCGTGGAAACCTTCTCTTTTATGACTATATGGAGAATGGTTCTCTGTGGGATCTTCTTCATGGTTAGTGAACTAAACTTTTCCATCTGTTACCTTGTGTCCTCTTATCTGGTTATCATGTTCAATGTAGTTTCTTGTTTATTTTTATTCTCTGCCAAACCTTCTAATCATACGATCTCGCATTATATTGCTAATGGTTTTTGGTTGATATCAATGGCAGGACCATCCAAAAAGGTAAAGCTTGACTGGGAAACACGCTTGAAAGTAGCAGTTGGAGCTGCTCAAGGACTTGCTTATCTTCACCATGATTGCAACCCTCGAATCATCCACAGGGATGTGAAGTCATCAAATATCTTGCTGGATGAGAATTTTGAAGCTCACTTGTCTGATTTTGGAATTGCTAAATGCATCCCAACCACAAAAACTCATGCCTCAACTTTTGTTATGGGTACTATTGGCTACATTGATCCAGAGTATGCCCGCACGTCTCGGCTAACTGAAAAATCAGATGTTTATAGCTTTGGCATTGTCCTCTTGGAGCTTCTTACAGGGAAGAAGGCTGTGGATAACGAGTCTAATTTACAGCAGCTGGTATGTATCTCAAAATATATGGTCATAACCATTTGATTACTTATGATGGTGCTCAACATGGATAGGTGGCAGCATAGAAGCCAATTTAGTTGTTTTAAGCTTTCAAGTGTTCATTTTCCTTAAGATAACTTCTACCTTTGTCATCTGTTTTGTTTCAGATTTTATCGAGGGCTGATGATAACACTGTAATGGAAGCTGTTGACCCAGAAGTTTCTGTTACATGCATGGATTTGACCACTGTAAAGAAGAGTTTCCAACTAGCACTACTGTGCACGAAGCGCCATCCATCAGAGAGACCAACCATGCAGGATGTGTCCAGGGTCTTGGTATCATTTGTTCCAGCTCCTACAAAAGCTTCTCTTCTTCCAAAGCCTTTCGACTATGCCAAATTTGTCATGGACAAAGGACAGCAGCAGCCAACACTTCACCAGCCACAACTTCTGCAGGAAAACAACTCTTCTGATGCACATTGGTTCATGAGGTTCAAAGAAGTTGTGTCAAAGAATACTCTCTGAGTCGCTGACCCCAATGCACCCTAGGAAAATTCAGCGATAAAAAATACCAAATTTTTGGCCAGAATGGGTTGTTTAAACTGCCCCCTTGTATAGATTTTGAACATCTAGGAATGTTTCGGCATGTTTTTGCTAATATTAAGCTCAATCGCTTTTACAGTACAAGGGATTAAAAATCCCTTTCGGATAGCCTGCTATTGTAATACTTTTTATACAAGGAGCTCTACTAACTCTAATTTATTTGGGTGTCAGTCTAGACCGTTCGGTGCAAGAATTGGGTTTAGCAACTTAGTTTTCTCGTCGTCTTGAAATGCTTTTCATGGAATGGAAACTGCAGTCGCTGAATATCTCTAGAACGTCTGCTGCCTGCTTTTTAAGCATACTAAAAAATATAGCAAAAACAAAAGAAGGCATTGAAACTATTTAACGTAGATGCTGTACATTTGTAATCTTCAAAACCTCGCTGGGTATTAAACAATCTCTGCCGAGCTGCACGCGTCTTGTATCCTTCGTTAAACTTTCTTTGCTGGAAAATGCACATACAAGTAAATCGTTAAAAATTGAGAAGCTCGAAAGCTTAAGTCTATGGAGTAAAATTTGAATAAAGATGTAATTTTTTACTGAGTAATTGTTGTTTGATAGTAAATCTGGATTAATAGAAGGGCGTAGAACAAAGAAGTTGGTGCTGAAAAAGGAATCAAGAAGAACAAATTGCAGGGCTCGAAAGGGGAATATTGGAGAAGAATTGATAGACATTGTTTTCACATGTAATCTAATAGAGAGAAGAAATTGACCAACTTCGGTGCAATTAAATTGGAGTGAGACCTAATCAACAAGAATAAATTCTAGTTTCTCTCATAGTTATAAGACCGATCTAGTCCAAGACTAGGGTTATAATTCAAATGAGCCATCCAGAATTAATTTAGCTTAATTTCTAATGATGTTAATTCAAGTTTTTTATTTCTTAAAAAATAAAATGATATTGTTTTGAAGGTTTTTTTTTTTTTTTAAAAAATCAAATTAGGTATTATTTTATGAATCCTTACACATAACTCGGTTCGACATGTAACCTGGCTCGGATTAGAACTTGGCCACCATGCTACTGACACAAAAACCACTTGGTTTGGTGAAGTTTTATAACAATGGCTGATCGTTGAATGATTGCGAAAAGTTGCTTATTATAGTAAAAACGTTAGCATCACAGGGAGGGCCATCCCTTCCAGTGTACAAATGGCGAAGGTGGGCTTGATGCAGCCCGAGTGGAGAAAAGGTGCCGTGAGTAAGAAAAGCAAGCTGCAAGGTCCCCTGTGAGAGACAAGATGTGTACTATATGTGATGGAGCTTGTACTTCACAGGGAACATGATGAATGGGTCGTTCAAAGGGCACTTTAAGTGTTCTGCCTGTCTTCTGCCTCCTTTAGTCATCTTCTTTCCCTTTTCTTCCATTTAGATTTTCCTCAACAAAAAAAAAAAAGAAAAAGAAAGTTACCAATCGGTGAAAATCAACCGAGACAAATTCCCCTTTGCATTTCACATATTTTGCAAATGATGGTGGTGCAAATTACTTTCATTTACTGCTACATCTTTGTTATTTGTTATTTTTGTTCTTATAAATAAACCATTGTTCTAAGACCTGGATGGCCAGAGAGATTAATCTGAAATTTAAACCAGTCTAAAATGAAGAAAAAAAATAAAAAAGCTAAGTTGATCTAATCAATTTAAGCTTTACCTAGCCAAAACATGATCATCGATTTGTTGATTTATTTTAATAAATTTTTTTTTTTAAATATTGAATTGATTTGATTTCATCTACTTAATTAACTCGTCACCAGGATTAATAACTGCTCCGAATTTAAAACTATGAAGTAGATGCCAAGAAACCCAATGAGCAGCTGCTGGTGATATCGTGAAGTGCGAGGAGGCCCAGCAGATTGCTCGTCCAAGGTCTGTTCTTAAGAGCACTTTCATCTCCATGTTGATAAAGTCACTAATTCTTCTTTCCTTCTTCCTTTTGTATATAACAATGAGTAAAATTGTGATTGTTGACTAACATATATCACACTTTTTCTGCAATAATGTATTTTCTTTGTATTTCTATCCTTATTTATGAGCTATTTTCTCTATCTTAGATTCTAAATTCAAGATTATATTTGTTATAAACAAAAATGTATCAGCAACATTTAATTAATTATTTCAAGATGCTTACGAGGTTGTAAACAAAAATTATTTAACCGTTCTAAATTATAGATTAAGGTTTGAATCTTATTTCATAACATAGTTGCCTTTTTAGAATTATGCAAGAAAGGGAGGTATTTTAAGCCTTCCATTTCACCAGTACCAACCTTTCCTCCCAGCTTACGAAAGCATCTTATTTGTCTCCATGGCTCATCATCACTCATTTGCCTTCAATAATCTGTTCATAACACCAATTAAAAACACATAAGTCAAAACTGAACCCTATCTACCAATTCCTAAACTGTTTAGAGGGAAGAAAGAAAATCACCATCGAATTCTGTTCGTAAAATGAAATATTTTGATATCAAGTTTAGTCAATTTGATTGCTGAAATTCATGAAAATAATATTTTTTTTTTGTTTTTTAATGAGTTTCTTTCTTATCTCTTGAATTTATGGATTAAAAAATAAATAAAATGAATTTTTATGCTAAAATAAAAAAAAAATCAAATTTGGGTGAATAATATATTTTGAAGTCTTCTAACATTTAATTTGATACTTTGACTATGATTCCAAACCTAATTTCATTTAATTAGATTACAACAAGTTGCTTCAAATCAATGCTTTACTATAATTGAATTCAAACGTAGCGTTTAATTTAAATTTAATTGAAAAATAAGTCAAATTCATATACTTGAAAGAGATAAAATTTAATTTATTTTGTTTTCTATATTACCCTCTTCACTTTTATCTTTTTCATTTAAATATCTTTAAAAAGAGAGATGTGTAGATGTTGTTTTGAGAAATCTAGTTTTGATATTACTTTCTTATCTTTAGTCTAAGTATATAAACTTTTGTTTTAATTTTAGAGACTAAATTACAAGTGAAATTCAATTATTTACATTTAAAATGATTACAAACATTAAGTTTTATTAAAATCTTGAAATTGAATTTCTTAAAAAAAAAATCTAAACATTTTGTAATTCACAATGTAATTGAAAGGAAAAAAGAGTTAGAAAAAAAAAAAACACTTTCATGCTCAAATAAACATGAAAGCTAGATGAAGCTTCCCACTTGTTTTGGTATAATAGAGTAATTACATAGCAAACACTCATTAGGAATGAAGAAGATATTGTGCAAAGACAAAACTCGAAATGCCAAAACCTAAAATCCAAACTCCAAGATTATAAGCCACCAACACAAAATCCAATCTTTCCCTCTCTCTCACTCACTCCACCACCCACACAACACAGCACTCAAAAAAAAAAAAAAAAAAAAAAAACCCCTTCCCCCCCCAGATTATAAGCCACCAACACAAAATCCAATCTTTCCCTCTCTCTCACTCACTCCACCACCCACACAACACAGCACTCAAAAAAAAAAAAAAAAAAAAAAAGCCTTCTCTCCCTCTCCCGACAACCTCGGCACCAAATCTTCAGGCGGGTCAATCCACCAAACCCACATGACCCAACCTCTAACACTCCACGAACAACAAAGCAACCCGCCTAGACAAAAATCCACCGGAATGAGACTCATAGTGCCATTACAAGGCATAGTTCAAGGTAGGGGAGGCCTAATACTAGGTACCTTGATACCTTGTGCTCTTTTTTACTTCTTTCAACTTTACATTAAACGAAACCGTGATAACAGTTCAAACACTCCATTGAATCCTCCGTCGCCGTCCAGTTCATCGCCCAACCTCGCGGAGATTCCGAGGACGCCATCCAGGTCGAGTTTTCCCGGTCGGGTGGGGTCGTTTGGTCCGGTGAGTGTATCCAGCAGGGCTAGTCTGATTGTAAGAGGGAATGATTCGCCTTATTATATTGGGTTGGAGAAGGTTTCAGATGATCCATATGAGAAAGCCCGTAACCCGGATGGGATCATTCAACTTGGATTATCAGAGAATAGAGTGAGTGAAAGACAAAGAGTTCGGTTTTTAATAAAGTTTTGTTATTTATTTTTTTTTAAATTTTTTGTTTAATTGGGTTTTTTGTTTTGGTGTTTTTAGTTGTGTTTCGATTTGATAGAGAAATGGATGATGGAGAATGTGAGGGAAGCAATGGTGGGGAGTGACGGTGAGCATTTGAGTATTAATGGGATCGCGGCGTATCAGCCATCCGATGGATTAATGGAGTTGAAAGTGGTAAATTTAAGAGTCTTTGTTACTTTTTTTTTTAATGATGATTGTGACTATTTGAAAATTGGGTCGTTGTATTTAACTAACTTCTATGTTTAAGTTGAAAGGTTGTCTTTTTAGTGAATGCAGAGTTAATTTGGTGTTTTTGAGAGTAACATAAAATGTGAGCTAAGTTTAAGGTTTGGAACTGAGAGTTGTATGGGAAGTTAATTTAGCTGTATTAGAAGACAACTGGTTAGCCATGTAATGGAATTGAGTCTCTGGTGTGGTTTTAGTTGTTTGTTATTCTATTTAGTTGCTTCAGTTATTTGCAGGCCGTGGCAGGTTTCATGTCTCAGGTGATGGGAAAAGTGGTTTCATTTGACCCCTCATCACGGGTGACGGAAAAGGTGGTTTCATTTGACCCCTCACAAATAGTATTGACTGCGGGTGCCACTCCTGCAATTGAGATACTATGCTTTTGCCTGGCAGACCATGGAAATGCATTTCTTATTCCAACGCCTTATTATCCCGGGTAATTTTATAGCCCCGAGTGCAACTTTTGATTATTAGTCACCAAGTGTGAAGTGAATTGTAATTTTGTATCTAAGTTTTCTTATGGAAATGTGGTCTTGGAGTTGATTATAAGGAAACTTGCAGCTTTGACAGGGATGTTAGATTGCGAACAGGAGTGGAGCTAATTCCTGTTCACTGCCGCAGTGCTGACAACTTCTTATTAAGTGTTACTGCTCTTGAACAGGCATACAACCAGGCTAGAAAACGAGGAGTAAAAGTTCGTGGGATTCTGATTTCAAATCCCTCAAATCCTGTTGGCAATATACTTCATTGGCAAACCCTCTATAACATATTAGACTTTGCCCAAGAGAAGAACATCCACATTATCTCTGATGAGATATTCGCTGGTTCTGTGTTTGGAAATATGGAGTTTGTGAGCATGGCAGAGATTCTTGAGAAAGAAGAATTTGATAAGAACAGGGTTCATATAATATATGGGTTGTCTAAAGACCTCTGTCTTCCTGGATTTCGGGTTGGGGTTATCTATTCATACAATGAAAATGTTTTGGCTGCTGCCAAACAGTTAAGTAGATTTTCTTCTATTTCTGCTCCAAGCCAGAGGTTGCTGATTTCAATGCTGTCAGACACTAAATTCATTGAAGAATTCATCAAGACTAACAAGCAGAGGATACAGGAATTGCATTATTCTTTTGTTGATGGTCTCAAACAACTGGGAATCCAGTGCATAGAAAGCAGTGCTGGTTTCTACTGCTGGGCTAATATGAGTGGACTAATCCGTTCTTACAGCGAGAAAGGGGAACTTGAGCTATGGGATAAGCTTTTGAATATTGCTAAGGTCAATGTAACACCTGGTTCAGCTTGTCATTGCATAGAACCAGGATGGTTCCGGTGTTGTTTCACTACCTTAGCTCTAGAAGATATTCCTGTGGTCATGAAACGAATCCGCAAGGTGGCATAAACTTGTAAATCTCTTAGTTGAAATTCAATGAATTTTTTGCACCCAATTTTGTTTCTTTCATGGTTGATGGTGTTGCTGTGTTTGCAATCACTATTCACTGCTTTCAGTGGCAGAGCAAGCAAGACAATGGAAAATTCCAATTTGATATCTTGGGAGTTATGGCAATTTTCAAGATTGGGTTACATTCCGAATGCTGTAAATTGTTTACATATTTGCCTGGAAGTGGAAAGCTAGAACGATTTGAAAAGGACTGATCAAAGAAATGAACTTCGGGTGGTTCATAGTGTCAAATGCCCTATATTAGTTTCAGTCTTGGTTGGCGCATCTTCCTCTGCAGTCCTTCAATCATATTGATGCTAGTTCCAAAGATGCAGCATCCAAAAGCTTTCTTGTCCATAAATTTCTGCCACAGTTGCAAACAGGCAAGAGTAAAGTTATTTTAATCTTTTGTTGAAAATAGCAGATCACTAGAAAATGTAACCTTTTATTTATTCAATGATATTGCAGAAGGAGATGATTTAAAGTATTTTTGTTCTTATGATTTTAATAGCTTTCACTTCTATATCCTTCTGACTTCTAGTTGTTTATCACTATCGGTAGTTTGACATCCAAAAATGGTTTTAGACTTCTTCTAGGAATAAAAGACAGTAGCAAAGAAGCAGCAAGAATTGGACATTTACCATTGATGGATTCTGTTTTCTCATTTGAACAGCTTTTCTCTGACAACTCCTCCTTCGGCTCATCATTATCAGTTCACCAAGCGTTAGTGGTCTCCTTATTATGACACTGCTATTACGTTCATAATCAAGATCTCTGCTGTTTAGCTCCGGAGTAAAAGATTCCTTTCTGGGATGGGAAGCCTTTCCTAGAAAACCAGATTTGGGTGTATATAATGGAAAGAGACATTCCAAGAAAGCAGCCCCCTCAAGACTTGATACGCCAGTTGCATAGCTGCTTGTGCTACTATCAGTTTCAGAAGTTGGCGATGATGGGCTTTCCTGCTGGCCATTGCTATCATCTGTTTGAGACGTTGTTTGCACCGGAACAGCAGTAGAAATTGCCACCGATGAAACCATGCAATTAGCCAAGAGAGACTGTGCTGAACTAAACGATTCATGTGTCTCGAAACTGAATGATTCAAGATCTGAGTTAAACATTACTTGTTCATCTCCAAAATTCTCCTCACCAGAATCACCAACCTCTTGCTTGTGATTGTCATCACCTGGAGAGCACGTAACATGCCATGGTAAAGCAAGGAGATTTGCCTGTGGGGTTATAAATGCTGATTCTGGTGATTGTGAGAAACATGATAGAGGTTTCCCAGGCTTTTCCTCCCAGTTGAAGGGCACTGAGGCGATGAGCTTGACAGGAGGCAGTTGAACTGGGGTAACCGAAGAAACCTCAGGTTTCCAGTCTCTTTTTGCTACTCCGGGCCTTACTTCCCAGAGAAATGGCACTGATGGTGGTTGCCTAATGTGTTTTTTCCTCGAGGAGTCTATGACTTCTAAACCAGCCATTTTGAAGAAAAAAGCTATTATCCCTTGCCCATTGCACCTTGAGCTGGCCTTGTTCATGCATTTATATCGTTAAATGAAGTGGGTTAGTCGAGTTCCCTATCTAAACTTTGCATGCCAACTGTACCATTCTTTTGATCAAGTAGTAGATTAGGCTTACCTGCTCTCTCTACTCAATACTCTAATGGTCTCGTTGAAGTTCTGACCTAAATAGCTCTTTGAAGTGGCCCAATTCAACAACTTAGGCCATCAATGGGCTGCCCATCATGGATAAAATAAGGATGGCCTCCTTGCATTAAACTCGAAACACAGGAACTTCCCCACTTTTCCTGTCCTGTCCCGTTCCGTACAGGAAGGAAGTGCGTATATCCGAGTCAGGCGACTTCCGTTTGTATGTGACATGTGTTTGGAACTTCGGACACAAACTAGCCCTGCATATTCCAAAATAAAAGCAATCACAGGAAGTCTCTTCTCTCCAAGAAATCAGAATCTCCTTAGTTCAAGAAGCTAACAATGACATCAAAAAACATGGCTTCGATAAAACAGCTCAGCTCCTTTATGTGCTAGGGGTTGCGGTTTCTTTGGTTCTCCAGAGAACAAAAATCTGTGTTCAAAGTGTTACAAAGACTACCTCAAAGAAGAGGTAACAGCCAACTCTGCTAATAAACTCTCTGAACCTGTCATCACCCCATCAGCTGATTATAAGAGCCCAGCTGTCGCTAGCGATGAAACGAGATCAACAACTAACACGGCTGTTTCGAGTTCAACTAGGAAGATTCGATGCGAATCCTGCAACAAGAAAGTTGGCTTGACAGGGTTCAATTGCCTATGCGGGAAGATCTTTTGAGGGATGCATAGACATGCTGAAGAGCATCCATGCACGTTCGATTTCTAGACTCTTGGTCGACAAAATTTAGCTAAGCAAAATCCACTTCTTGTGGCTGATAAACTTGGTTCTAGAGCACGAAGGGATCATAAAGATTTCTTGAATCTGTCTTCTTCATGCATACAACAAAGTTATATGTGATTTGTATTATCTTTACTGCTTGATTTGATAATAAAAGTTTCGAATTGGTATTATCTCCTAAGTAATCTATTATGATTTATAGTTTAAACTCACTGTAGTAAGATCAGCAACCACTAATTTCCTACTTAGCAATAATTCTGGGCTTTCTTCCAAGAGAAATGGCAATATAGCTTCTTGATTCTCTCTTTCTTGAAGGTTTAAGGATTCCTAGGATACTATTCTAATAGCATAAATACATTAATCATATTAAGAATTCCCTTTGAAAAATATAACCATGGTTAACCCTAACCCTAACCTCTCTTCTCCTTCTTTCCCTCTCTAACGTGTGCCTCCTCATCTCAAAAATAAACTGAAAAAGATATCATTTTGATTATAATGATAGAATTGGGTTTATTTAATAGTCACAAATAAATTTAATAATTCAGTTATTTAAATTTTTTCAGGTTAAACTCAGATTGAATCAACCAATTATGACTTTAATTTTATTTTTATTTAAGATAATATAATTCACAAGTTTTGAACACCTATTTTTTTTTGTAAATTCTTTTATATAAAAAAAGTATTTTAAATGTTATAAATTTAAGTTTCTCTCCCTCTCCCTCTCTCCCTCTCTCAATTTATGATATTAGATGTAAAAGTTCACCACTTGAACGAAATAGTGTTTGCAACAAACAAGTTATTTAAATCCTCGTCGAAAAGGATTCTTTCTAGATATTGACTCGTAATTAACGCATGATCCGAAATTCCGAATCCCAAAAGGGATTAAAACACGTAATTAATGATTGAAAAACCCTACCTCTATATAACACACACAAAAGGCCATATAGCAAGAAATAAAAAAAATCTCTGAACTCATTCTCATGCTGGACTTGCGCATCATCTAATCATCCAGAAAGAATTGATGGATTCACAAGACAAGTTGACTCCTGCGTTGTGTGCCAAGGGCTGTGGCTTCTTTGGCTCTCCGGAAAACAAAAATCTTTGTTCTAAGTGTTACAAAGACTATCTCAAAGAAGAGGTAATTACTAAGACTGCAGACAAACTCTCTGAACTTGTCATCACCCCATCATCTGATGATAAGAACCCAGCTGTTGTTTCTAATGAAACAGCTTCAACAACCACCACAACTGCATCCTCTACAACGGTGCTGAAAAATAGATGTGAATGCTGCGGCAAGAAAGTTGGTTTGATGGGGTTCAAGTGCCGCTGCGGGAAAACCTTCTGTGGGGTTCATCGATATGCCAAGGAGCACTCCTGCACCTTTGATTTCAAGAATTTTGATCGACAAATTTTGGCTAAGCAAAACCCGCTTGTTGCTGGTGATAAACTTGATGCTAGAATCTGATGCAGTCTTTAAATCTTCGATCTTCAATTAATCTTTGTAGTTTGAATATATATACAATAAAATTTATTTTTTCCATCTTGCGAACAAAGCAAACAATCTTTTTTGTTCTTTCATGAAGTGATCCTTTCAATGGGCATTCTAATTTGGGCTAACTTGGCCGGCCTTTTGACGAACTAGACACGTTCTATTCTAGTAGTTTGGAGAACTGCTTAAATGGGGCCATAAGGTCTGTCAAGAGTCTAGTTACAGCTAGCCACCATGTGTTTGTTCCTGTCAAATTCTTGCACAATTTCACTAATTTCTTAGATGTGTCTAGCTGGCTTATCTTGGTCGGACTAAGTTGCAAAGGTTTTTAAGGGAAGAACATGTAGTGCAGTTGGGTCCATGGTACCCCTACAGGCTTAAGGGCTCCAGGCTTAGCCTTGGACCACAACACATCATCCTTGGATCTGGTCCGCTAGACAGGCCTAAACGTTTCCAAGATCATCTTACAATTTTTCTGGTTTGGAAAATAAATGATACAAGACTTGTATTCTTGGCCCATCAAATCTAATCTAATTTTAAAATTCAATCCAAACCCGATTCAACCAGCAACTATCCTAGGTATATAAAGAAAAAATTACAAAATAATTTGCTTCCCCTCCTTCCCCCCCCTATTTGTCCTAACTTACACCCATATATACACCAAGAAATCAATTCTAAACTTAAGGATTTGGTTACAGGAAGGGTTGAAGAACAAGAATCTTCTTTTTTATTGTTATTTTTAATTAGAGATTTACTATGGAAAGTTTTAGGAAGAGTTATAGTTTTTATTATGATGTGGTGATTGAATGATTTCATAGTTATAATTAATATTTAGAAAGTTAGTCTTGCTTAAAATCAGTTTGATATGTTATATGGATTATAGGTTTTTGAAGAAAAAATACTTATGTTTTTAGGATATATAGATTTGAAGATTGATAAATTGAGATTCTAAAAACCCTAATTAACCGGCTAATTAATCTAAATTAATTGATCAATTGGCCTTTATTTAATTTTATTAATTTTAAAGAATATAACATTTTAAAAGATTATCAAGCGGTCTAAAATTATTACATAATTTATTTTATGATTATATTTATGTTATGAGGCTTAGCATAGATAAAATATTTTTATGAGATTACTTTTTTATTATCAATTATGGACTTGAAATTCCAGTTATGACCTCTTGTTGTTCAGAAAAGGGACAAATTACATTTTTAGAATTTGATTAGCCAAAAGGCAAAGCATTTAAGGAAATATATAGAACTTGAAAAGAGCATATAAGGTGGGACAAAAGGATATTAAGAAGGCCAACCCTCTCATTGAACAGTGAAGGAGAACAAGGTCAGTCATGAGGGCCCTAGAGGGAAACAAAGGTGACAAAGATGGGAGCTTTTACGAGAAACTTGTGTCCTAACAAGGCACCAGTGTTTCACCAAAAAAAAAAAACAAGGCACCAGTGAAGCTATGAGCTGTAAGAGCAAGTGAAAAATTATAAACAAATCGGGAATAAGAAGATATGAAACATAGTGGATTGCGAGGATGGGATTTGTCCCTGTTCTAATTCCCGTACGTAGGATATGCTAAAAAATGAACTAGTAGTAGTCCTAGCAATGCTTGAGCTTGCCAAGAGACACCCAGCACTGCAACGTCCAATCCTATAACTTGTGCCTGATTGACACAAATCCTTTGGAATTTTGTTGCATCATTTTTGTGTTTAATGCTCTTATTCTCCTAGAGTATATCACATAACTAGGAATGTGATTCCTCTTACAAAGTGTTAGGAAAAGAAATCCCCTCTTGATTAATAAATTTATCTACCCCATTATACTACCAAGATAGTACTGATTGTGATGCTACATGTTTTGCTACAATTATAATACCTCCTCCCGCTTAGCTTCTCTTTTTAGTGCTGACTGTGATGCTACATGTTTTGCTACAATTATAAATTTAATTTTTTTTTATTATAAATCAACACATATCAAAACTATCTCTTGAATCTTTTATTAAAAAAAAAACTATAATTTATATTTTTTTTAAATTTATTTTCCCTTTTCAAACTACAACCACCAAACAGAAGATGAAAAAAGTCTATAAATTAAAGTCAAAATTAACATGTTATCTCTTCACATGCGTAGCCGGAATTGGTGTCTAGTCTCTAGTGATTGTCTCTTAATTCATCATTGATAAATTAGTGTAACAGTATTGAAAAGATTCCACTATGATAAAGACTAAATTACTATTAGCTGGCTAGTGTGATCTCAAATGTTTCATTGAAGGGCCCATTGATAATGGCTATCCAGCTGCTTCTTTGTGTAAGTTAGTCTATGACTTCATATCAGAGAGTATTTATTAGTTAGAAATGGATAAAAATCTTGTATATAATTAGCAACCACAACATAAATTATCATGAAGCAGAATCTTGATCCGATTATTCTGCTGAATGATCAATTAATGGAAGATTAAAGGAATATTTCCACATGAGATTTCAAGCCAAAAGCATGCCTTGTTTGAAAGATTACTCAAATGATCAAATCATGTACATACATATATATCTATATTTGACATATGCAGGTCAGGGTCAGAAGGAGAACAAACCCTCAAAGATCTGACACTCAGTTCAGTCTAAGATCAAAAACATGATAAAGTTCTGACACTCAGTTCAGTCTAAGATCAAAAACATGATAAAGTTTAGATTGAAAACAAAACTAAAACCAAGAAAAAGAAAAAGAAACCCTCTTCCTAGCTGGAATTCTGAGGATTCAAGAACCCATTGAAGTTGGCACATTCAAACAAGGCCTTAGCAGTCATCTCCCTTTCGAACCTCCAAATGTAATTCAAGCCCACCAAAAGTTCTGTAATGGCGGCTTCAGTCTTCTCTTTATTTGCAAAAAACAATGTTTGCAAAAGAAACACATTGGTTTTTGGCACTAAATTTTGTTGCTCAAAGCTCCTTTCACTTTGCCACTTGATCATATTATGTGCTAATGGTGATAACCACCCCAATATCCTCCCCAAAGCATCCCTCCATTCTTCTGCGAGAACTGGATCACTAGCCGAAAACCCTACTCCTTTCAGTCTAGCCCTTAGTAAAGACCTTATACTATTTGGTAACATCGCGTAAAGGTCATCTCTTGCATCAATACCAACAAGTTGTGGTGACTTTATCATCTTCTCCAGTATTATAATCAAATTTGCATAGTGTAGGGCTAAAGCTGCCGCACCCAGAGTATTTGCCGGTGGATTTAGAAGCTTTGAATTCGTCTCGAAAAACCCAGTACTGAAATCTTTATTTCCTTCAAGTTTTGAGATCTTCAATGGCCCTGACACAAAGTTACAAGTTGTAGGGTTTTCGGTTGGATGCACTGTTGCAGAAGCTGAGAGACAGCGAGGCAGGGAAGTTGGATAGCCATGTGCTATGCCAAAAACCAGCTTGATCCGTGCTAAGATAGTGAAAATGGACTTAGCAAGAATCAGAACAACAGTATCAAAGCTTCTATTCCAAAGAGATCTGTCTTTTAGATACTTCACCTCCTGTCTCTGCCAGAATATCTTTTGTTGAAGATCCAAAACTTTTTGTTCTTTTGTTGTTCCTTCAAGTTCACCACACTGTAAAGCTTTCCTTAATCCATTCTCCAATACAGAAAGCTCCTCTATCTCTTTATACAGCGTCGCCGTGACGGTCACGTACCTGTCCAACTTCTTGGTTTTAGCTTCCATGTCTTTCCAACTCAAGACCCAACAATTAGTATCATGCCCCAAGTTGGCAAACTCATCGAACAAATGTTCGAAACCACGCAAACTTGTGTCCCCACACCTCTTGCTCAACCTCGAAACAGATTTAGCGACGAGTCTAAGGTTCTCAACCATTTCTGCACACGCGAGGCCGAGAAGGAATGATTCATCATTGGAGACTATCTTGTGTACTCCGTCAAGAGAGACGGACTCGTTTCGCACCCGAATTATGTTCTTGTCGGAAAGAGATTGCCAAAGATGGAAAAGCTTTGACATAAGACCTGCAATTTCCGAAGCTAATACTCCAACTGAAGATTTCTTTGATGGTTTTGGGATTGGAGTGGAGGTTATGACTGAATCAAAACTATGAGATATTACTGTTTTTACCTTTATTAGCCAGGTTTCAAGAGCCATATTGTGGATCAATATTTTTCTATGTATAGCACAGGAAGTAGCAAAAGGCTAGATATGTATAGCTAGCTAAGGATTAATGGCAAGTTGGTGTGTGAAAAAGAAGAAGAAAAATGAGAAGTGGGGATTTGAGAGAGGAAGCAAAAGATAATGGGAGAGGAGATAACGGAAGAATGGGAGCTGGAGATCAGAGTGGGAGCTGGGGATCAAAGATAAGGATTATAAAAGAGGAGAGCATGGAGGTTATATTGTATTGTAAAGGAATGTGTGTGGCTTGTGGATTTGAGAGCATTACAAATAGCAAGCAAATTGTGTGATAAGAGAACAAAAATAAAAAAATAAAAAATAAAACTACACACACAGAGGTGATAAAATTAATTTTTTATTTTTTATCAAAAAGATTAAAGAGATAATAAAAATTGCAGCATCCTAATGCAAGCACAATGAATGGTTATATATATATATATATATATATTATTGAAATGTATTTTGTCTTTCATGAGTTTGAGCTTCAAGAGGAAGAGGATTTTGAAGCGAGTGGAGTATTGGGTTATGCCCCCCTCCCCTCTTCTTTTCTTGGGTTTTATAAATAATAATGATATAATAAACAATCTTATTCTCCTAGTAGATTAAAAAAAGAGAGAGACAAGATTTGGTGTGTGCTAAGAAGCACTTTTTCTCCTAAGATGCTACTTTCTTTCCTTCTTTCTTTTTCGAAATAGGGGTGAGGGCCATATCATCATTGGTTTTTTCCTTTTGAACTTTTATGAGGTCATCTTTCTTGGTAATTACTATGTTTGTTCCATATGAATTATTCATTGATTCTCCAGTTAAATCCTTTTGAAACAATATGAAAAAGAAAAGGAGAAAT